GGCCGGTATCATGCCTTTGTTCGGTCGGTAGTCATCTTTGGTCTGGCCGCGAAGGAGCTCGGCGAACTGAGGAAGAGGCATACGCGTGCGTTGTACGAGCTCCGACATCGTTGCCTGTAACGCTTTGTTTAATCCTTCGCTGGAGGACCGGTCCTCGCCGGAGTCGCATGCTGGGTGGGTAAGTCCGACAGCACGCAACGCGCGTTCGATCAGACGGATACGAATTGACTCCCACAGTTCGAGCCTAGCCAACGCGGCTACCGTCATGCGCCTCGTTGCGGCTACCGTTGGCGCGGGTCGGAAACAAGGCGCAGGGGCTTAGAGAACAGTGGAGAGCACATGTGACACGCTCGACTAGAGGAAATGGTGGCGTCTCCGGCTGTGGTTGACAGTCCGGCAGTTTCCGTGCTGTGGATCGCCTCCAGCGTGTTCTGTACGGTGACGTCCAAGCCGGGGGGTGTTGGTGTCTGAGTGCCATGGGGATTCAGTGGTTGGGTGCCGTGGGGTGACCCGTGTGAGCCCGAATTGCCGTGGGGCGAATTCGGTTGAAATTGTGAGGTACTGATGTTGCTATCATGTTGGTAACTGCGCCCATGTTCGACGGGTTCCAGTGACTGCGCTCCACATCCCGCCGGCGGCTGTATGGACGTTGACGCAAAATATGAAAACACACTGCTGCCGGTCGACTGGGACTCGACGGGGGAACTAAACTCTGTAGCAGAGAGATGCGTGTATTGGTGCAAACGGCTTGTTGACCGAAGTGGAGCAAAGCTCACTGCACCTCGGCCTCCTCACTGACGTCCACGGCGACCGTCGTGCCGGCGGTCAGCGCCGTAGTGCCGGTCGACAAACTCCTGAAGATCTCGTGGCAGCCGTCCTTCCCACGTGTGTGTACGTCGGCCGTGACCGCACCGATCCGTGCTTCCGCCATGGCACATACCACCACCCATGAAGCGCAGCCATGGCTCCAAACCAGCGGCATCGCGCGGGATTTGGCGTCGGATGTAGTCGGGCATGATGGGAGTACGAGTTGAAGGGCCTCTGCGCGGCGCTGATGGTACACCATTGCCGGTAGGTCTAGATGTTGAGCTTGCAGACGCATGGTGAGCGCGAGAGAGGCGCAGCGCGAGGTTGTTCAGCGCTGCCTGCCATTCAGCACTGTGGTAATCAATGGCTCGCACAGCTTCGCAATAATTATGCCACCACACAGGGGAGTCATCAAGCAAGTGCGACATCGCACGCCCGAGGAACGTGTTCACGTGCTGTAGTGCTAGCGTGACCCGCTTTGGGGTATTATCGTCGCGCTCGGCATTGGCGACAATGAAACGCTTGAGACGGGACGTCATCCGCCGAGCGTATTCGAAAAAGAACGCGTCCCCGACAGAGATCAGGCCACCGATGGCTGCAAGAAGGTCTTCGTAGCTCGAACATTTGCCAGATGCCGAGGGAAGCGCTGCACTTGCCCCAAAGTCGGATGCAAAGTTGGCATTGGACGAGCCCCGTTGAAGGCGCTCCAACTCTGACTGAGGTCGGAAATGCAGGGTGGTGAGGCCGCGACTACCGAGACGGGCACTGTAGAGGGTCATCAACACAGCAGGCGTTGATTCGAAGCGGACCGCATCGTGCTCACGAAGCCTAAGAACAAAAAACATTGGAGTGGTGTACGCACCTTCAGGAGACGACAGGATCTCGTACAGCCGATGGGCAGCTAGCTGGTGAGCCTGGGGCGGGTAGTACTCCCCCTTGACCCTTGTGCGCGGCACGGGGAAGCTGGAACAGCGCAGGTGGCAAACTTCCCGATCGGGCATGTCCTCCGTGTTTCCCAGAAGAGGAAGTGTCCAGGTCGACGTTGCGTCCGTCAGCGTAGGCGGCGGTACGGTACAAATTTCAGGGTGTAAGTCCTGAGACGGCTGGTTGGAGCCAGAAGAAATCGTGTCCTGACCGGGTTGTAGTCGCTGCTATAAATCCATCACCAACCGGAATAGCCAGTCAACCTTGCTGTCGAGGGACCCCCCCCTCCAGCCGGTCGGGAGGAGGCTGAGGGCGGAGCGAGCGCTAATAGTGGCGGTTCCGCGTGCTCAAGCTCGTCAAGAAACTCGTCAAGCCGGAACGACGCCGTTTGAGGCCGTGGTACATGGCTCTCAGCAGATTGGCGGGCAGTACCACCTGTGATGGACGTCGACGTAGACGGTCTGGCCTGGCGCGACGGTGGAGGTGGCGCGAGACTTTCACTCGTGTACACGATAGACCGTCGTGGCGCTGACGGCGGGCGCCTGGTCGTGGGTATAGCAGAGGATGTGGTGCCTACGGGTGCAGAAGGAACAGCAGCCAGGGTTCCGCTAGTGCTGGCGGTAGCCATTTCGGCCTCCGAGCTGCACGCGGTGGCCAGAGGACGATGCGTTTCGGTCGGTGCCGGAGGTGCAGACTTGCGCTTCGGCTTCTTCGATGGTTCACTTGGTACATGGCCAGGTGCAGCAGCAAGTGCACGTTTTGCCTTCCTCTTACCGGCTGCACCAGATTTCCGCGTGGCAATGCGTGCACTTGAGCGTTGTGGTGGCGAGGCAAGAGGAACGTCGTCGTCCCCGTCAACGATGATGACGGTTCCATCAGGAGCTGAGCGCTGGGCTCCCTCGGCCGGAGCTGGAGCCGGGGATGGCGTCGGATTGCCACCGCTGAGTTTGGCAGACAGCATGGCATCCAGCGGTTCGTCTTGAGTCCCACTATCGTCAGGTTGCGGTAGGGGCATCGACGATGCGAGGGATGAGCGAGCTCCCGATGAGTTAACGTCGGGCTGCGTTAGGACGATGCGAGGAGAGTTGGGGGTGGACGAGGCCGCACGAGGAGAGCTTGGGGCGGACGAGGTCATACTGATGACTAGGTCGAAGAACTTGGACGAGCTGTAGCTTTGGTCTTGAGCAGAGAAACCGAAACTGAGTGGTGCTGGAGTTCGCACTACCTTCACGGGATAGGCATACCCAAATCCTTGGCTTGAGCTGCGCTGACTTGTTAACTCCCTCTGCCTCCGAAACCTCTATTCCTGTTACCACGAATGCCAACTTTCTGCAATCGGATTTTGCTTCACTATTTCATGTATTCTTCAAGATATCCTACTCTAAGGCACTGTCGCCAGTATTTTTCGTTTGAAGTCCGCCACCATGCCGCCGAAGGGAAAGAAGACTTGACGCTGTTAATACAAGAGAAACATGTACAACATCCTTTCTTCGCCTTGATGGCAGTCTCACGGGATGAGCGAGCACGACCATATTCACCAAGCTGGTCAGGTGACGTGAAAATGCCCTTCCGAATAATCATTGCAGTAAAATAATGTGGCAATATCTGTATGGAATAATTTTCCTGTTATGATGAAGATGTATCCAGTATCGTCTGAATTATTTGTTGCCCATGCTTCACAAAACTACTCAATCCCAGCTAAAACTGAGGATCAACCACTGCTTGATTGGCTGGCAAGTCCTTGGGAGTGCATCCAGCTCAGTCCTTCCCATTATCTAATTCACTATGTAATTGACAAAAAAAAACCTTCACCAAGTGATTTTGCTCTTATCGAAACAATTGCGTATTTGAGACAACGTCAAACAAAATGATACTTACGAACCATTTAGAGTTATCGAGATATTCGAGCTTGCCATTTGATTTTCGCACTTAACCGAAACAGTGAAATTTATTGTAAGCTTCCAGCGAAAAAACTGTAAAACTACCGTTATTCAACTGCTTTTAACAAGAGCTTTTAAATAACACTTAAATCTCTAAAAATGAAAAAAATATTGAGTTCACAACACTCCTAAATATATCGTCATTTCGAGGGCCCATAAACGAAGATAATATTTTTGAGCGATCACAACTTCTTCAGTTCTAGGCATTCTGCAGCTTATAAGGGCTCAAAAGATAGAGGAGACGCCCCGCTTTCGTTTAGAGTGCTTAAATCGCGATTCGTACTTAGGCTCATAAGTATCATTTAGTTTTGGGTTGTCTCATTTGTCAATATCAAATATTTCCCTGCGTTGCCGTGCATATTGGACTTTACCAATGCAGGGATAGAGGCAATTTCAGCCCGCCAAAGTTTGTCACAAACACAATGGTCGACCTATCGATGGGTCCGAATTGTGGAGCACGCAAATAAGTAACCCAACCTGCTGCTCTAGATATCGAGGTCCACATCGCGCGAATACAATGCATGTGCCAAATTATCAAAAAAGCGCACGCTCCCCGTCTTCATCGCAGCAAAATCTTATTGCAAGAAGCGAAAGGCGAGATCCTCTGCCTTGAAGGCAGTGCCTTCGAGCTGGGGAACGCTCTATACGAGCTGGGGGACCCTCCTATTGATACCGGTGCTATTACAATAAAAGTACTTACACAAATTCTGGTTTCGGTTCGAAAACAAGCACGTGTACATGTACAATGTACAGTACATGTAATAGCGTGACCTGAGCTCTTGGGATAGCCTCAATGCAGCAAGCGAAGAAGAGAGGCCACGTTCGAGGTGCCTTTCAGTCGTCAAGTCTGTTGACCAGCAGATCGCAGATTGTTTCCCTAGGCCCGCTAGCCAGTTCACCTCAAACTTGATGCTACGACCTTTCGATACAGCAGCAAGAAAGCATTGAATTTTTCCACTGCAAAACAATATTACCCCCAACAAAACGTTTTCAAAATACGGAATTTTAGAGGTGTCATGCTGAACTTTTTCGATTGTTGTCAACTCGTGCGACTTGATTGGCAACTTGACCGGCTGTGCCACAGGGTCATTGACCCGTACCACAGGCTGTGGTCTCAGTCACGCACCTTGCACTCGTTGTTGCGTGTCCTTTTTGCAGTTGGTCCGCCGTCGTCCGGGCTTCCCACGCTTCGTCAGGCCGCTCGCTCTCTCCGTCTGGCCTCGGTCCTCGGCTCATTTCTAGACTGCCACGCTCGCCTGCACTTGGATTGCCACGAGCAATTGTGAAACGTGGCGCCCTCCGTGCATCATGCAGGGGGTGAGCAGTGCCATGTCGCTCGCGTGGCTCCGGAACCACGCGCGCAACCGTGATCGCGGTACAACCAGGACGCGTTCCAACAGCCAGCGTCTCGCAGCCCAACGTGCGCACCGTCAGTTCGCCGGCGCCGAGGCGTACGCGCCGCGTATCACCTACGACAATTCGTTCGTTGTGGATAGTAGTGTCACGTCCCGCGATGCCAACTGGGTCACTGACGACCAGTACAAACGCCAATACCTCCGTCTCGGTTGGGAGGTGGCACTGATTCGTAAGGATGGCAACTGCCTCTTTCGAGCGCTGAGCGACCAGCTTTACGGTCACGAGCGTCGCCACTTAGAACTGCGTCGACGTCTGGTAGACTTTATCGATTTGGAGCGTGCATTCTTCGAGCCGTTCGTGGCTGGTGAGGGAGTCGTCAAGTACTGTGCACGACTTCGTGAAGCAGGGGCATGGGGCGGCCACCCAGAGCTCGTCGCAGCATCCAGGCTGTTGGGTGTCACCATAATCGTGCACACGGGCCCCGTCAAGCGGCTCCGCATCGACACTGACAAGTACGCGCGGACTAAGGAAGGCAAGGGCAAGACGATCAATCTTCTGCTCAAACACGACCACTACAGTAGCCTTCGAAAGAGGGAAAAGCCGCTTCATCAGCAACACGGATGCTCGAATATGTGTCTGTGCAGACGAATTGTGACGCCGTCTCGAGCTTCTCTTGACTCTCGCGCCTCTCTGGGTGCTCGTCCGTCAGATCTCGGGGCTAGCTTTGTCGATCGCAATTCGGATGCGACTAGACGCAGTTCCCTTGGCGCTCGACCTGCCGATATCGGTATCGAGCAGCGTGGTCGACTCAAAGGTGCCTACGGCCGCAAGTCTGTGCCAGACGCCCCCAACAGCAGAAGCAATGAGGACAAGCGACTTGAAAAGGGCCCGGCCAAGCCAAAGTCGCGACTTCCTTCTCCCCCGGACAAACCGAAAACTCCTGCTCCGGCACCACCGACTCAATCTGTGCCTGCTAAGGCTAAGGTTGCCGCTCCTGCTGCCCCATCTCGACCAAAGGCGCGTGCCCCCGCGCCGCCCAGCAAGCCAAAGTCCCCAGCACCAGCTCCGCCGAGTCAGCTGGCATCTGTGGCATCAATTCCGCAGGTTTCTTCCCCTGAACACAGCAAAGCGGCATCGCCACGTAGGCCTCGGTCCCCCTTACCAACCCCACCTGCAAAGCAGAAGACCCCAGGCGTAGTGCTTTTCCAGCCAGAGTCGTTAAAACCGGTCGTGAAGCCGAAAGCTCCACTGGTAGTACTCTTTGAGCCTGAGCAAACTCCCACGCCCAAATCAACGGCTAAGAAGTCGACTGTAAGCACCGCGACGCCTGTGAAAACTACGTCGGCATTGGTTCGGGATGCTGAAGAGGAGGAACCTGAGTCGCCATCAGGTGGACGCGAGAAGGTCCCTCAGCGTGGCGTCCGTCTCCCGCGTCGTGCCGTCTTTAATGGTGGCAAACGTCGCCGTTCCAGTGCGGCGGCGCTTTCGTTGCTGCAAGAAGTCTCGGTTAGCTTAAATGGTAGCACCCCTGAGGTTACGATCGAGCCTGTTCCTGTCGTGAAGCCCGTGGTGAAGACGATCAAGCCCGTGATGGTGGCGAAACCGGTCGTGAAAACGATCAAACCCGTGACAATGACCAAAGCGGTCGTCAAGACGGTTAAGCCCACGACTGTATCCACGCCGACGGTCACTCCTGTCACTGCGGCCAAGCCGACCCCACCAGCGCCGCGCTCCATGGAGATCAAGAAGTCAAGTAAAAAGGTTTTCCGTCAAGGCCGCCCTGTGTCCGCTGCATGCTGAAGGAAAAGTTAGCGTTGCAGCAGCGACTTGATGTGCCGCATGGCGAATGAAAGCTCGCGGTTTGTAAGATATAGAGAGAACAACAGAGAAGGCACCAGAGTCTGTGCCAAGCTCAGCCTTGACTTCGATCGAAGAGGACGAGGATCCCTTTGTGTCAGGAGACACGTATAATGTCAAACTTAATACACGGATGACAGTGCACTGCGCCCGCTTGAAACGCCCCGCGTCCTTCTGTCTGTCACCTTCGTTATGAGCGGAGACCTTGAATCTGAGAATGATGGCGGTAGCGCCGACGCTGTGAGTAGATTGCTGAGTACGAATACGACGCTGGGAATTATCGCTGGGCTCACGCTGGCAGCTGCGAACGAGCATCAGGACGAGGACGAAGGTCATATCCCTCCTATGCCGGGGCCGCTTGGGCGAACTCGACGGAGAAGCGTCTTTGGTCTACTTGGAGCTGGTCCCAACAGCTTTGCCGCTTCGAGTCCTGTCAAGAAGCCGCATGGGGCCCACTCTGCCGTGTTTTCCGTGCAAGCACCTCGTGAGACGATCCAGAGACTGCAGAACCACAACAAGCTACTCCAACAAGAATTATCGATCGAAGCGAGAGCAGCTCGAGAGTTGTTAGGCCAGGAAAAGCGCAGTCGAGTCGAGCAGCTCCGATCCTCGCTCGCCGCATTCGGTGGAAAGCTCGCCAAGGCGCAGCGTCAGGTGGAGAAAACCGAGCAGATTATCCACCGGAAAACTCGAGAGCTAGCAGCTTTGCGTCTAGCATTGCAGCCAATTCCTGCACACGAAGCCGCAGCACAGATCGCCGCCGAAGCCGAGGCCGGTACGCCTGGCAAACCTTTAGCTGGGGCGGCCGCTGCTGCTGCAGTTTCAGGAAGACTCCGCGTGGCGGAAAACCGCTTAGAACTCGCTCTCGTCCGCAAGAATGAGGTCGATTCTGCCAATAAACAGTTGCTCGCTCGAGTGGATGCTGCTCGACGAGACCGAATCATCTTTGACGGCATTTATAAGAAGCTCGAGCGAGAAACTAGCGGATGCAGGTCTCGTCATGAACAGGCGAAAGCTGACTTGACGCGAGCAACCCAGGCTCGAGAAGCGTTGGCTCGTGAAGTTGCACGGCTACAGGATGCTGCTGAACGCGAGCAGTTTGAGTTCGAGCACCAATTCCAGGACCTTAAGCACAGTATCGAGCACTGGCGCCGCGAAACGGGATTGCGTCTGGCTGCCAGTGAGTTGCAAAACTCATCGTTGGGGTTATCGGAACTGGATGCAAACTCCGAGTACGATAAAACTGGTGCAGGAACGCTCTCTCGAGTCACTGCGTTGTCAACGTGGAAAATTGGTGTGGATCGAGCCCTCACGTCGGTCCCTGATAGCTTAATGACCAAATATGATCAAGCCTTTTCCGCTATACGTGAGCGAACAGGACTGCAGGACGCCTCAGCTCTAGCTCAGGACTTACTGGCACGCGATGCAGCCAATTTTCAGCGCTTCAAGCGTGTGGAGGAACTGAGTCGTGAGGAAGTGGCACTTCAGACTCAAGTGGCTACACTCACCACGCAGTTTGAGACTTTCAAAGCGCGTGAAGGCATCGCAAGTCGAGCCTCGCAGAAACAGCAATGCAGGCGCGTTGAAGCAGCTTTGCGTGAAACCCAACAGGCTTGCGACGACCTGGACGCTGAGATCGAGGAACGAGATGCTGTATTGGCCAGAATTAAGACCTCGGTGCACTCGGTTCGCAACACGATGGCTCATGCAGCCTCAGGTGGTGGTACCACGAGTGGAAATGCAACGGCACTCGGACAGGGCATCACGGACTCGAATGTTATCGAATATTTGCAGGCTATTGAGATGTACACGACGGCACTACTACAGAGCAAAGCTGGTGGTGAAGCAAGTGCAACTTCACCGGCGAAAGCACGCGGTCAAGGTACAGTACAAGCGCAGACATCGAACGCAGATGCAGCCTCACCACTCCCAGTGGGACATGGCCCGCCGACACTATCGTCTGATCCGCGTCAAAAGCTTCGTGTGCATGTGCCATCATTTGGTGGAGTTGATGGGGTCATCGAGCTGCCTGCGCCTCTGGCATCCGATGGAGGCACCAGCCCGACATCGAAACGGCATAGCTCGAAGCCGTCACGCCGTACATCATGTCGTGAATCGGTTTCTCTACGCCAATTCGCTGGAGCACTCGCTGTAGCTACTTCACTGGGGGAAGAAATGATGGGGAACCACCGACGAGTTGGAAACGATAAGAAAACCCCCGAAGCTAGCAGAATTGCAACTGGAGAGGAAATGGAAGACGATGACGAGGACGAGCGAGCGCTTAGCTATGAAGAACTCAAACGTTTTGCAGAGAAGAACACGAAAAGCAAGCGGCGTGGAAACACTTCTTCTAAGGTGCATCGCTGAGCTGGTTAGGATGAGAAAAAGGTAGCTATGTGCAACTTCAATAACGGCAACGAAATGACCTGTCGGGTAACAAGGCGACCAACACTCCTGTAATCAGCAGTTTTTGTTTTTGTTGCGCGAGCAGTCACTCCCAAACGGACGCTCAAACCAGCATCTTCTTCGTGCTACTGCCATGTCCAAGGCCCCGAGCTTTCGAGTCCAGCGGTCAGGTTCCATTCCCGGGAAAGGAGGCGCGGAACTCCACGCTGGCGGTGAAGGCGCAGAAATCGCAGCTAAGAGTCGTGAGGTCATCGATGGTCTCGAGAAACTTTACGCCACTAAACTTCGGCCCTTGGAAAAGCGCTATGACTTTGGAGACTTCCACTCACCCCTTCTGAGCGATTCCGACTTTGAAGCCAAGCCGCAGGTGCTCATGATCGGCCAGTATTCTGTGGGCAAGACGTCATTCATCGAGTACCTTCTGGGCAAGCCTTTTCCGGGCCAACGTGTTGGGCCAGAACCCACTACGGATCGCTTTGTCGCAGTGATGCATGGAGAGGAGGAACGGACAGTCCCAGGCAACGCTGCATGTGTGTCACCAGATCTTCCCTACGGTGGGTTGTCAATGTTTGGTACAGCCTTCCTCAATAAGTTTGAGGTAGCACAGCTTCCTGCCCCATTGCTCAGCCAACTGACGATCGTGGACACTCCGGGTATCCTAAGTGGCGAGAAACAACGCATTTCTCGCGGGTATGATTTCACGCAAGTGGCGCGTTGGTTCGCCGAGCGATCCGATCTCATTTTACTGCTCTTCGACGCCCACAAACTCGACATCTCGGACGAGTTCCAGCGCGTGATCGAAGTGTTGCAGGGCCAAAGTGATAAAGTGCGTTGCGTACTCAACAAGGCAGATCAAGTGGACCAGCAGCGTTTGCTACGCGTCTACGGCGCACTCATGTGGTCCCTAGGAAAGGTTTTAAAGACTCCAGAGGTCATGCGTGTGTACCTTGGCTCATTCTGGTCTCAACCACGTCAAAAGCACGGTGAAGACGGCTGCGGCGGCACTCCCGAGGCGCTCTTCGACGCCGAAGAGCGAGATTTACTCGATGAGCTGCGAGCCTTGCCGCAGCATGCTGCTGTTCGTAAGGTAAATGAATTGGTGAAGCGCGCGCGACTTGCGAAGGTTCACGCGTGTATTCTAGGACACCTGCGTGACAAGATGCCGGCAGTTTTTGGGATGGAGAAGAAGCAGCGTGAGCTGCTGGACAACATGGCAGAAAACTTCCGAGAGGTGCAACGCAAGTATCACCTCCCACCAGGAGACTTCCCTCCGATCGACGCCTTTGTTCGACAGTGCGCTGATAGGAAATTCGCAAAGTTCCCGTCGCTAAAGTCACGAGAACTACAGGATATCGACGAAATGCTCACCAAGGATATTCCTGCATTGATGGCCTCACTACCTAAGCACACGCGCGTGGGCATCGCTGGTGTGGAGAATCCTGAAAATGGAAGTGGTTCGAGTAAAAATCCATTTGCCAGCATAGCCCCTGCGGACAGACTGCAATGGGAGGAGGAGCTGCTTGGGCGTAAGGCAGAGTATGACGCGATCTTTGCTACACTATCGTTGGATACCATGGGACGAGCCTCTGGGGGGAGCTGCATGGCGCCGCTGCAGAAGCAGGCTTCAACGACAGTCTCACAGCAGACACTGCGGACTATCTGGGATCTCGCCGACCAGTCAAAAGCTGGAAGTCTGGACGTCGATGAGTTTGCCGTAGCCATGCATCTCTGTGCACTGGCCCAGGAGGGCCAACCTATTCCTGCGGAGCTACCGACATCGCTCGTGCCGCCTTCGAGTGGCAAGCAGCAGCCGCAAATAGGAAGCCCCCTGCAGGCCAGCGCGATCCGCCGACCGACGACTATTTAGAGAAATCTGTGTCAAAGGTTTGGTGGCTTTCCACTCTTTCAATTCCATGTATTCTTTTCTCTCTCTTTGCTTGTACTACAGAACGAAGATTATACAGAAAATGCTGAGTTACATCTAATGTGTTTGCTGCTGCGGCATTTCGCTATTATACACGCATGTTGAAGTTTTGTTGCCGTTAGTCGAGAGTGATGGTGAAGGGTACTGTGACGGGGTCACACAGCACCTTGCACAGAGGAAGTGCTTAAGGGTATTAACTACCCGAGTGAACGTAAGTTCACGTGTTCCCGGCCTCAGTGGGAACGGTTGGCTACTTAATTTAAGACTGATGTATTTATAAGTAAGATATGCTTGGGTCTCATACAAACTAGAGGTTACCTATAGTGAAGATGCACTGAGAGCACCTGGTACCGTGTACCAGGTGTCCACAAGAGTGACGGGTCACTCTTTATGTACACTGGATTGTACCCTTCCGTCCCCGCTCCGCCTTGACTGCGTTCCGGACGGACGTACGGGACCGACCTGTCTTCCTAGCGATCTCGTGCAGAGAGACGCCTCCGTCGTGGAGACCGACGATAAACCAGTACTCTTGTTGGGAGAGGGTCTTGCCGTGGCCCATTAGAAAATGAAAGGCTCACAGCCTCCGTAGCGTCTAGCTACCCGCTCATTTCCGCCAACCATCTACTTATTTTGACCATCACTCTTTTAATAAAGAAATTTGTAAGGTCTGTTCATAAAAGTGTTTTTTCGTCATAAAAAGGATGTGGTCTTAATAATTTGACGCTGATGTCCAAACCTTGAATTTGTATACCAGCCCTGTCAGATACATAGAAATCTAAGTTGTTAACACAAGTGGCACCTCTGTAAGCCTAAAAGAGAGAACATATCAAAGTAGCAGCTCTCAACTCAGGCTAGAAGCCGAGATATTGTCAGAATTGTCCCGCCAAATCGGGGGTCTTAATGATTTGGCGGGCACTGTATAGTGAAGATGCACTGACTGGTTCCATGAGCACCTGGTACCGTGTACCAGGTGTCCACAAGAGTGACGGGTCACTCTTTATGTAACATGCCGTTACATCCTCCCGCACTTAACTGAGAATCACCTGATTCTCCAATCACAACTGATTCTCCAATCAGAAGTGAGAGAATTAAAACACCAAAAGGTGAATTCTCACACTGAGCAGCCACGAGACTGGTGCGGCTCTCAGTCACCCCCACAGTGACTTGTGCTGCCAAAGCTCACTGGGATTTGCATCCCTATGTTCACAACTGTGTTGGCCGCAAAGCCTACACTTAGCTCCTGCGCTAGCGCGCGTACAGTGCTTAGGCACAGGGTGCAATAGCATCCGAACGAGGAGCAGACCAAAACACCAATAAAGTGACTGTACACACGTTAGTGTATGAGTAATCCCACGACTGGGGGGGCAGCAGCACCAAAATAGTGGCGAATTGCAAGCACCATCTGTATGGCAGTATCTCGCTTTAGAAACGAACACATGCAAGATGTGAAGGAACTTCACACCAACTCAAACGGTAAAAACACTACGTTCACTGAGATAGCTCAGTGTCATACAATCGCAACTACACTAGTAATGGCACTTAGATCCCTATATGTGTAGTTCTTAGAACGGAAAGAACGTAGCTATCTTCAACCGCTGAAGATCCGCATTTGCGAATTAAATGTAAATGTATTGTATGGAAGCATTGTCTACGTGTGGCCGCACTGGTTTCAAAGGTTCAACTGTCGGTGGCAATTCGGTTCGAATAGCTTCATATGAAAAAAATTGGATGAATCTGCTCTTGGCTGCATCACGGCCGTCGTTGCAGCCGACAATGACTACAAGATGGGGGACGGAGTGGAGGTTGTGGTCAACATGGTCCGACTTTCTTTGTCAATAACAGTGTCTAGAGACTATAGATCTCGATGATCATATTCAAAAAATACCCTTCATGCTTGTACAGTACAGTACTTGTACTTTAAACAGAGACCTACAAAGCGTTGTTGCATTGTGCTACGGGTAGTGAAACACCGCAAGCTAGCTCGATGCACATGGCACTCGATGACCCCAACGACACAAACGACACAAAGTGAAACGCAGCTCATAGTTTTGGCCTCCGTCCAGCTCGGACACTCAGGTAAAACACACTCTTGTCTTCCACACTATCGGTCGACTACACCGATCTACCCTACTAGAAACACTGTCCTTACAACAACGGCAACCAACGACCTGTTTTCAAACCTTTTCTTCTTTACTTTTGGTGGTTCAAGAGAACTAGACGACGTTTGATTGTGTGGCAACGCCCTCTAGCCGCCTTCCTGATACTAACTTACAGCTTGGGGCCGAACTTGGAGTAGTCCGTCACGCCGGTGGACACGTACTTCTTGAAGTTCTCCTGGGACATACCGGCCAGCTTCTTGGCCGTGACGTCGTACGCCTCCTTTTCACTCCAGGCCTCACTCGTGTTCAGCACGTTCTCCGAGATCTCGCCGAGCTTCTTGGGCACGGAGAAGCCGAAGTTGGGGTCCTCCGAGAACTTCGAGTTCTTGATGGAGCCGTCCAGGATGGCGTCAATGCAGGCGCGCGTGTCCTTGATGCTCATGCGCTTACCCACGCCGTAGCCGCCACTGGTCCAGTCGGTGTTGACCAGGTACACCGACGTGTTGTGCTTCTGCAGCTTCTTCTGCAGCAGGTCCGCGTACTTGGTCGGGTGCAGAGGCAGGAAGGCGGCACCGAAAGTGTCCGTGGGCTCCGTCACGCCACGCTCCGTACCGGTAACCTTGGCCGTATAGCCGGACAGGAAGGGGTATATGGCGTGGTCGTCGCTCAGCTTAGACACGGGCGGCAACACACCGTAGGCGTCGCACGTGAGGAACACAATGCTGCTCGGGTGGCCTCCGCTCAAGGTAGGCTCGTGGTTGGGGATGTGGTAGATTGGGTAGGACACACGGCCGTTCTCCGTCTTGGACGTGTTGTAGAAGTCCGGCTCCTTGGTCTCGGCGTTCACCTACGTGTTCTCCAGAAGAGCATCGCGCTTGATGGCGTTGTAGATGTCCGGCTCGTTCTCGGCGCTCAGGCTGATGGTCTTGGCGTAGCACCCACCTTCAAAGTTTAAGATTCCTTCATCTTCCCAGCCGTGCTCGTCGCCACCGATGAGGTATTGGTGCGGGTCGGCCAACAAAGTCGTCTTGCCTGTGCCGGACAGACCGAAGAACACAGCCGTGTCGCCGTTCGTGCCCTTGTTGGCCGAGCAGTGCATGGCCATGATGCCGTCGAGCGGCAGCCAGTAGGTCATCATGGAGAATATGCCCTTCTTCATCTCTCCGCCGTACCACGTGCCACCAATCACAGCCACGTCCTTCTCGATGTTGAAGGCCACACACACCTCCAATTTGAAGCCGTGTTTCTTGCAGTTCTTGTTCGTCACCTTGTAGGCGTTCACAGTGGTAAAGTCCGGCTTGAAGTCCGCAATCTTCTCCTTGGCCTGAGGACGCAGGAACATTTTGGTCACAAAGTGGCGCTGGCACGCGAGGTCCGTGATGAAGCGCACTTTCTTGCGCGACGCCGGGTTGGCGCCGGCGTACCCGTCGAACACGTATACCTTCTCGGCCTGGTCGTAGTGCTCGCTCACGGTCTCGTACAGCTCGTCGAACACCTCGGGGCTCACGGGCTGGTTGATGTCACCCTACCAAATGTTCTTGCTGGACGGGGCCTGGTCCACAATGAACTTGTCCTTGGGCGAGCGGCCCGTGAACTTGCTCGTGTCGATCGTGTACGTGGCAGTCGCGTTGGCCAACGTGCGTAGACCGAAAGACGACGAGAACGCCGGCGACGACTGCGCCATCTTCATGGCTCCAAGGCACTGAACACTAGCGCAGAAAGAAATTCGAAGAGGGAGTGCTGGTCCTTGTCGTGCTTGATACGAGGTAATGTCGTCTTCTCCACCATCTCGTAGAGGAAACTGCCGCTGAAATGAGGCCTCACCGGACGGCGTCATGCATCAGAATCTTCGATCTTCGCCCCACTGGGAGCTTGTGATGATGGAAGGGCGGTATCTTTAGCACATTGGGCCTCCTTGATGGGAACGTTGTCGTCCCGGTTTTGGCAGGAGGTGGATTGCGCTCTCGGGAGTAAATTGGAGAATGCCTGATGGTGTTGAACGAGTTCATCCCTCTTCAGCGTGCTGCAGCGTTTCCCATCGACAGCAGCAGCGTTCCAACGTGTGCGAGCGGATCTTAAGTCTCCATTAGGGGTGCAAACGATCGGGGTTTCATGTGCTAGTGCCACTGTCCTTGGATACTGACAGATTAGGAAGATGCGGCCTCACACGTATTCGGACTCTTCTCGGCCTGCTCGCGTAAAAATCTAAATGTGGGAACAAACAAGAGCTGCAATTTGCAGTGCAAGTGCATGTATGGATGTAAAGAGAAAAATGATTGGCAGATGTTACGTAGAGAGCAATAGAGTATGATCGGCTCACAATGATCGGAGCGAATCTGTTCTATCGAAACATAAGGCCGATCCTTTACCTGCGTCTACGCTTGTTTTGAGCCGTTGCCTCACGTGCTCTACGCGTGGGAGTCCTAGACCGATGGGATCTACGCAGAGTATTAGTGACTGGAGTCTCCAAACGCGGCAAATGAAGGAAAGATTCTTCGCGTTGGCTGGCCGCGGCAACAACTACACCCACGGCGTGACTTACCGGACCAGCACTCGCATTGCGCGGCGCATCGGCTCTGGTACACTCTGTATCAGTGATGTCCTGGCTATCTGCCAACGTCGCTGGACCATACAACGGGAAACCTGCTTCCGGCCCCGCTGCGACAATAGCTGCATCTTCACCATCCGTAGCCGATCTCCGCACAGATCTTTGCTGGTGAACTGGACGCTCAAATCTCTGTGACTGCATGGGAATTCCAGGGCAAGGGAGCCCAGCAAATTGAGTCGCTTTCATTACATGAAAGCAAACCCCAGCTTTGTTCCAGCAGAGACACATGCATGTGC